TTCTACTGTGCAATACTACTGCCATTTCATACTCTCAGTCACCTTAACTACCTCACTAATACACATGATGTGCAATACAATTGTGTAATACTTGTATTTTTTTACTTTCATTATTATATCTATATTGCGTTACATTTTTTTTTTTTAATTTTTAAAATATTTTTAGTGTGTGTTTAATGTGTGTTTTCATAAGGCGTGTTTTTGCACTGGAAAAAGGAGTGGCTCTTAATTTCATTGTACTGCGTATATTGACAATAAAGGCATTCTGATTCTGATTCTAGAAGTTACCCTGGGGTCCTTTGCGACCTCATCAACTATTACATGCTTTGCTCTTGGAGTGATCTTTATTGGTCGACCACTCTTGGGTAGAGTAACAATGATCATCAATTTTCTCCATTTGTACACAATCTGTCTGACTGGATTGGTGGAGTCCAAACTCTTTAGAGATGATTTTGTAACCTTTTCCAGCCTGATGAGCATCAACAACTCTTTATCTGAGGTTCTCAGATAGACATGCCATGTTTGTGGACATGCCATGATGCATGTCCACAAACATGTTGTGAAGAGTAGACTTCGATAGATCCCCGTTCTATAAATCAAACAGGGTGCCCACTCACACCTGATTATCATCCTACTGACCAAAAACACCTGACTCTAATTTCACCTTCAAATTAACTGTTAATCGGACAGGCTCTGTCCGTTTAAGGTGACCTCCTAAAAAAACTACTGCAAAGCTCAGCGATTTTTGACAAAAACAATATGGCATCGTCTGTAAGACGCAAAGATCCCAACAAACAAGACCAAACGAAGGACAAAGGTGAACATTTGAAACAGCCAACTCTACAAGCAACATCAGGTGGAGCAGCAGGTGCTACCGCACCTGACTCTGAAGCCCCCAGTATACTGCCACGTATGTCCATACGCAGATGTACGCACGTACGTACGCAGAGGTACGAACGTACCCCCCAGGGCATGTCCGTGCAAAACTCAATTTTTAGGACCGCATACACGTACGCGGTGTCGCACAATAAACTGCCTGGCGACAGACTGTTTTGTATGCGACACCATTGTATTAAATTCCACTTCTTCATCTCTGATCTGGCCTTTTCTTTTTTTTTTTTTTTTTTTTTTTTTGCCAAGAGGCAGTGATCTCTTCCTCCTCTGTTGATGCCATGACTGAAATGGTGAGAAATGAAGGAATTTGTCACGAGTGAATTAAACTCAGGTCCAGCGTGGCTGCAGGAGGGTCTGAGATTTCCTGGTGGGCTGGTCTGATGTGTGGGCTGTAGAGCCAGCGCTCCCCGTTTTTTTTTTTTTTATATTTTAGATCTTTTTATTAACAACATATAAACTCAGAACACCGCTGAGGCTGCCAGCGCTCGTTTTTTTCCCCCCCGACCTGTCAATCAATCTAATAGGCATGTCAGAAAATGACCAATTGGCTACCTCAATTTGTCCCGAAGGTAAACGCCCCCTGTCTGTGAAGCTGCCCTGCAGCTGCTCGGGGTGTATGCTGGAGTACAAAGTCTGAACCCTCTGCGTACAGTACACGCGTACGTACGCGTGAACGGACGTACGCGGCAGTATACTGGGGGCTTGGGTCTAAGATAAAGGCTGAACTGGAGAGACTGAGAAGAGAGAACCTAGAGGGATATACTCAAACCAAACTCTTTTTGACAAGATTGGAAACATCTTTTAAAGAGATGGGTGACAAAATAACAAAATTAGAAAACAGTGCCGGAGTGGCGGAGGACCGCATCAGTGCTAACAAGGACACCGTGAGGCGCCATGAGAGGGCGCTGTGATACCTGCTCTATAAAGAGTTGGCCCTGACGGCCAAATGCGATGATACAAAATAGATTGAGGAGAAACAGTTTAAGAATTTTGGAGTTCTCGAAGGATGTGAAGGTCGAGATGTGAAGACGTAAAGGAGCTACTCCAGTGCGCTCTCCAGCTTTCATCTGAACTCAACATCATCAACATTAAACGGGCGCACCAAGCGCTCACTGCAAAGCCCAAGGATCCGACCGCAGCCCCATGCTCGCTGATTGTCAAGTTCATGGACTTTATTTACTGTCAAAGAAAGTGTCCTGCGATAGGCGTGGGCAAAGAAGAAAGTTCTGTATGAAGCAGATTTTCTTTGACCATGATTACTCCCCGGAGCTTCAGAAAAAGTGAGGGTCTGTGCGGGCCGCAATCAAACAGTTAAAACTGAAAAACATAAAAGCAAAATGCTTGTATCCAGTGCAGCTTAAAATAATTATGGAAGGCAAGGAGAAGATCTACGACTATTGCAGAGGCTTTACCTGCACTTCAGGAGCTGGGCGTG